TAGGATTGGATAAAACAATACAAAAATGATAAAATAAAATGCGAATAATGTAATTTTGTTCTGTTCGGGGGGGGGGTGGAATTAACACAAACATTTTATGGTATAACTTGATTCCAGTTTTGTTCAGAGAAATGTCACTGTACACAATAAAAACTTTTACTTCATAAGAATAGCGAAATTGCATGGTTTCACTCGTATAACATAGTTATTTCAAAAATTTAAGACTTAGCTGAGAATCAGTGTAAACATCGCTAGCCGCTGTTTTGTCTAACAAGCACGAAAATTCTAAAAGTGCATCGTGTCGGCTTTTCAAAACAGCTGACAGAATATCTGAATAGAATTTGAGCAGGATGCCTAAATACTGAACTAAAACGAGTTGAAAATTATAAACGAAATATAACATCAACAAAACAAACGTGCTAACAACGATGACTGTCGTTTGGCAGTATGTTAGAATTTAGACAGCAGTAAACTAACCGGGAAAAAACAGTCGGCTAAACGACGTTTCTGATTTTCAGGTACGCAATGCAGCCGACGCTGCCTAGTGTCATCGCGGCCAAGCCGACCTTCCTACCAATGTCGGTCACTAGTAATGGAACCAATGCTACTGAGAGCAACATCAAAGACGGAAAGGTGCTGCTGGCCGGCAGTGTGGGTATTTCAACGGACTCTTCTACAAACGGAGGGTCACCTTTCAGGCGGATTTCACCGTAGTTCTTCAAAACACTGCAAAATATTCCACTAGTGGCAGAATAACAGCTAAACGATGAAATGCTTCAATTCACGCCTTACATGTCTTTTTCGAGGAAACGACGATACAGCCAATCTTCCAATTCTTCCGCGTTTTTCGGTATCTCAGTGATAGCGTACCGTTTAATTTTGATGTGCAGCGTCTTTATGTCATGACCACAAACGAAATCTTGAAAAGATTGCAGTTATCTGGTAATGCACACACCTGCGAATAAAGCGACCCGTCTTACCACACATATTTGGCGACACTCGACGAACGCGCTTGCTTCCCGGCATCGATGACTCGTAGATCACAGTGACGTCATAGACGGCGTCCACGTGTCGGCGTAGATGATCGACTGCCAACTTGAAACCGCGGACTCTGGGCATCAGCACTTCGGTGAGCGGGACGAGGCCATGTTTGATGGCGTATTCCTCACTTTTAGCAATGGCTGTCGTCTTCTTTGGGTTATAACGAGTTCCCTCTGGAAAAAGCACCAACCAGAACTGTAACAAAAGGGACCCATTTAGGCAGATGCACAGGACAATGCAACCGTTACCTACAGGATAATCTAAGTCGCACAGGTAGCGCAGCTGCTTGCTCGTGAGGTGTTCCTGGAACCGACGCGCCCTCCGAACGTAAACACAGCCATGCTAAAAGCAAAGTAGTAGTCGGAAAATACGAAACATGTCACGAGTGTTCATTTACGTGTCAGACCTTCTTACCATATAGAAATACCAGCCGTAGAGAGGAATATAACTCAGCGTGTTTTTGAGTACGTAACGTAATCCGCCCAGACAACCTTGTCGAATCGCAAGAATGTCGACCACTGCCCAGTCAACTATAAAAACAGAGGTGGTTTAAGCAAAAGATAAAGAATACGAATCGCTTAAAACGGTGAGCATACAAATACCTGAACATTGATGGTTACTGATGTAGATTGCCCTTTCAGGCTTGCGAAGGAACTGCTTTACATCTCCGTAGAGTACTATCTAAAAAGAAAGCATTACGCTACGCACAACGGCGAAAAGTACAGGTAAATGAAAGCAGTATCGCCTTCATTTAATTATGGTACAGGACCGAAAGTAGAATATCTTCCACCCCAAAACCAAAAGAAACTTGGCAGTACAGTCTGATCGAATAACTTGGTTGCATCGTTTGTGTTTTTAAGCAAATCATGAAAAAATATCTCGCATCATGTTATCTTTCGAACTAGGTAATATAATTGATTGTAAGGTTACTGAATAGAGTAAAGTGTGTTCAACCCTCGGAGGAGAGTGAAGGAATCACATCCTGAGAGAGATATGAAGTAGGAAGTGTTTGGAGAATGAATTAAGATTCACGAAATGTTTCAAATACAGGAAAATGCCTGAAGATGACGGAAGACGTCAGCAACTGTTGAAACTCAGCAAGTCATCATGCCATTAGAATAAACTGTTTGTAATCTCTAGGGAGAAAGGTTTGAACGATTTTCCGTCAACAGATTTCGAAAGCAGTCGAGCAGTAGTAAAAATACAAATGAACTTAAATATTTACCTTAACTCTAGAGATGTTCTCGAAGAAGAAGAGAATGACCCGTTGGTAGATACTGTACATCTTGTCGTCTATGAAAGCGACCCATCTGCATGGAAAACATAAGGAGACAGTATGCCAGCCTAAGGTTAGAATGAAATAAGGAACCGCCGTTCCCAGTATTAACAAGGTGGGCACAACAGGCCTCATGCTGTCCAAAAGGATAGCCAGCGAGAGCATTGCTAGTCCGAAACTAGTGCTCGAATTCGCACCGGTTCATGAATCCAAAAAAACCACGGACCTTCCTTCAGTGACTGGTACGACTCGTCTGGCCATTTCTGTCAACAAAAACTAAGAATTAAAATATTCCGTAAAAAAGTTAATTTTGTTTTAAAAGCTGACAAAGCACAAGTAAAGTGCATAAATGATTTTTCAAGATACGTTATTTAAGAACAGCACAAAAATCTTGATAGTATATAAAATAATACCATGATCTGTTGTGTGATAAATCGAAACAGGCATGATCTCTTTACGACTGTACGTCACGCACCTTCCTCAGTCGAAAGTTGTGAAACTGGGGCTGTATAAAGTCGGAAGTCGATGTCTCGGTTCTTCCTGTCGCTTAAAACGTTTTCCGGCGACAGGTACGATGAAGATCGTCCAATCTGCGCAGAGTTCGTCGCCTTCTCAAGGTTACCGTTGTCGCAGTACTGGATGATTGATGCCTGTCTGACGTTAATGTTCAGTCAGTTTCTTTCTCGGATTCTGACATGAAAGATGTCCTTCCCGTATCGCCTGCTGTATGCTTTTGGATCATAATTTGAAGGGAACAAAGCCTTGTTTTTTAAAGGGATGATTCGCTTGTACAAGCTGCTCACGCTAGTTCGCGATTATTCATTTTCTGATAGAAGGGTCTAAATTCTTTGAGTTACACTACTCTACATTTGAACTGTGTAATGGTTTTCGAAGTCACACGGCAATTTATAAGTTCAGGCAAGGGAGTTGCAAATCCTGGAATTAACAAATACAGAGTTACGCTCTCAAGTTTTTGTAAGACATGCTTTTAGACGCAACATAAAATTTCCTTTTCATAGTTTTCGCTTCTGGCACAGAAGCCATCATCAACGACTATTCACCAACTTACTGATGTATGCCTGTGCTGGAAGGGAAAACGTCCGTTTAAATAGAACTGTGTGCCACGTCTAAAGCAATTTTCTTGCAAAAGGCGGAGAACATGAATATCGTCGGGATATGTTAAAAATAAAGGTCTAAACACATAGAGTTGAACTGAGTAGAATTTCAAAATATTGAGGCGTTACTTGTTCAAGACTAGATTAAACGGTGTATTGCACCCCCATTTTTTCTAGCTGCCTTGAGTGGGCGCATTTCCTAAGGCCATGGCCCCATGGTCTCGTAGAAATCTGGTCTGGAGGAGATATGCGCCAATTAATATACTCCGGCAAAAAACAAGAAATTTTTTATGTACGCGATAGCTCATTAGCAGTGTCTGCATCCATCGTTTGTGATGAGTATGTAGCTGCTGTAGTGAACAAAACCATGCGAGTTGAATCTAGCGCTGCATGTGTTCAAATACCATGCAGCAAAGGGAAAGTTGTACGAAGTGGTGACCAGCATGAACTAATAAAAAAAGTTAGCAAATGCACTACTGAATGAAGCTACAGCAACACTGATGGTTTCGCAACAGAAAATAGTGAAGGCGAAATGAAGTTTTACTATTGAACAAAGTAACGAAAGAAATTGATTTTTAACATAGATCACCGAAAGCAGACATATTTGTAAATTAAGTAATAATATATAAATAGCAGTCAAAAACACCAAACAAATGAAACCGTAGACAAAACGATGAACAAGAAAAGGCTAATTCGGCGCTAAGTAACGAACGATAGCATAGCAACCTCTTTACGGCAAGAAAAACGCACCTTCAAAATTCAGAAATTGAAAAATTAAATTTTAGCCAATT